AAAAAAAAAAAAAAAAAAAAACTTCTCTGAAGAAGGAATAAAGTATATGATTCTCAAGTCTGGAATAGAGAGAGGGGCCGCGGAAAGCGAGAAGCCATTAGGGAGGAACACGCAATTTAGAAAGACAACAAGAAGCAGCTGTGGGAAATGGTCAGAAAGGACCAGGAAGTCACTGTTGGGCCCAAAGAAAAGAAAACTCATCTGTTTTGTGTTTTTGTAAAAACCAGCCTTTGGGCCGGCCCGTGGCTCACTTAGGAGAGTGCGGTGCTGATAACACCAAGGCCACGGGTTCGGATCCCTATATAGGGATGGCCGGTTAGCTCACTGGGTGAGTGTGGTGCTGACAACACCAAGTCAGGGGTCAAGATTCCCTTACCGGTCATCTTTTAAAAAATAAATAAATAAATAAAAACAAAAATAAAAAAATAAAAACCAGCCTTTTTTTTTTTTTAAAAAGATGACCGGTAAGGGGATCTTAACCCTTGACTTGGTGTTGTCAGCACCACGCTCAGCCAGTGAGCGAACCGGTCATCCCTATTCGTATAACTTCGTATAACGGGGCCTTGGTGTTATCAGCACTGCACTCTCCCGAGTGAGCCACGGGCCGGCCCAAAACCAGCCTTTTTATATCCAGTCTCATGAGCAGGTGTCTTGTTGGAAAAATAAGAACTGCCCTATAAAGTGGTCCCCTAGTTCAGAGGGGGCTGAGCTTCCTGTCAGCAAGCCGTGCGGGCCCAGACTCACCACTGCGTGCTCCGCAGCCGTCTGCTCGGCCACCCGTACTCTCTCCAGAGCGGCGATCTCGGCCTCCAGGGCACGGGTGTGCTCCGCACACTGCTGCTCCAGAGCCAGGGCCTGCTGCTGCGTGTGGTTGCTCTCCTTATTTGTGGAAGCCAGTGGGGAAACCAGAGAACAGTTAGTCACAGTGATAATGGTTTTCAGAGGGCGACCTTATCTGGTCCTCAGTGACACAAAGGTGAGTGTCCAACAGAAACAGCTCTCCCCTCTGCCCCAGCACTGGAGTCTGGCACTGGTCTTGATGCCATCACTCCACCCTCAGGGTGTATGGGGACGGCTCTGGGCACCAACCAGTGCTCAGACACAGGCCTCCTTCACGCTACCCAATGCTGCCTCTATGGCTGAGGCTTTTCCCTGGGGAAGCAGTATAATACAGTGGTGAAGAACTAGGGCTTTGAGATAGAAAGATCTGGGGTCTGCCATTTACTGGCTGTGAGACCATGGGCTAGTGACCCAATCCTTCTGAGCCTGCCTACTCTAGGTGATGAGGATGATAGTGCACACCTCTTAGGTCTGCTGCAAGGACTAAACAAAAACATGTGCAAAGCACTTAGTTAGCACAGTGCCTAGGACATGGCAAACATGAAATAAATGCTGGCTGCTTTTATTTCCCTAGCTTCTAACTCAACACCCCACCTGGGGCTGTGATGATTGGCTAAGGGGGAGTCTAGACCTGTTCTCCACACCTGATTGCAAACTGAGGTCTGACTCCTAGTGGAGCTGCCACCTCTAACACCCCCAGGACTGGGCTGAGCCCGAAGACTGGATGTCAGGTGGGAATTAGCCAGTCAGTCCACCTCTCTCGGTGACTCAGACCCTCGAGCAGGTCCTGATTTCCTCTGCCTGCTGCTGCTGCCTGCTCACATTCAGCACTACAACTGTATCTAAGGTCAGGCCCAGACAGCATTCCAGAAGTTGGGAGTGAGTTTGAGGCATCTCGTAAAAGCACAAAGGGAAAGCATCGAGGGCCTGGGACACAGCAGCTACAATAACCACTTACAAGCTCTTGGATCTGAGCTTCCTGGGCAGCCACAACCTCCCTGCTCTGCTTGAGTTTCTCCTCGGAGGCCTGCAGGCTCTGCTCTAGTTCTTCCACCTAAGAATGAAACAAAAACATTCCTTCTGTTCAAAGAAGCTGAAGAGTAGTAATAAAGGGCTTTAAAATGCAAACTAATTTAAATAATAAAACAGGTACATTAGAGAAAAATGTAAAATGAGAAAAAAAGATACCCATAAGTCTACCATTATAAAACACTAGCATTCTAAATGTCTATTTTCCAGTCTTTTTTTATGGCTTTATATACAGTTTTTTGTAACTTCATATATGGTTTTAATAAAACAATGTAAAACTTTGTATTATTTTCCTCATTCATAAATTTCCTTCATTATTTCCATGTAATCTTCAGATCTGAGATTACAATTTCCTCAAAGACTTTTTCATAATTTATTGAACCACTAGCCTACTGTGTTGGCACTTGGGTTGTTTTTTGTTTTTTCCATCTAAAATAATGTAACAGTTAACATCTTCACACAGAATTTTTTTTTTTTTTTTAAGAAGATGACCGGTAAGGGGATCTTAACCCTTGACTTGGTGTTGTCAGCACCACACTCACC